GCGATATTTTGTTGAAACGTATGTTTTGTTTCAAGTTCATAGAAAGAAAAATTGAGAACTTTAACAGGAAAAGACCAAAAAATAAAAGCATTGCCGGTGAAATACAGATCCGCAATCTCGGAACACTGTAGCGCTGGAGAGCTGATTCTCTCCGGGACTCCATGCACAAAACTGCAAACTACCTATAAATCGTTTAGCTTCTCTTTCAAATTCGTTCTAGTTTCATGGCATTGGATTTTAGAGAGATCGCAGACTTCTTTTGGTTCTTTGATAGTGCGGAATAGGTCATGTTGGCAAGCTCTACATGACCTGGTGTGCGAGTATGGGTGCGCAAAAATGTTATAAAGGTTACCGGTTACATAGATTTTACCGTATGGGCTATTCAGAGGCTGGATTCTTTTTCAGTGACTTATTCGTCTGCTAAATTGTAGTCTGCTCCAAGTTGGAACACTGTTTTTACCCTTATAGAAGTAGAATAGAATGTTGCAACTTCTTTGAAAAGGCCTATCACTCTTATGGTCGTAAAAGCATCCTCTACTCAAATCCGTAGTCACAACTGAAAAAGCATTATATTCGCTTTTTCAATAGGGTAACAAGCGTCACACATTTCCAAGATGAAGCCGGATATCAAGGACCGTGATTATATGTACAGGCTCATTATCGGGTAGGTCTTTTTGATGACGTGAACTTTTTGAGCTGAGTATCTTGTCGAAGGCTTATTCTGAATGGAGGTGTTCTCGAAAGTGATGGTTTCACTAAGTTTAGGCAACTGTTTTATGATGGCCACCAGCAACTAGCCCTTTCACTGGCGCAGGCAATTGGATGTGCTGCTCAACCACCACCTCCGTCGGACAAGCTCTTCCGTCTGGTGTCCATCGCAAAGCAATTCGTCGATGATCCAGAATCGAAGGAGAAGCAAGCGATGCAGGTAGGATTGGAAAGTGGCTTACTTCTGAATTCGTTACTGCAGGTTTCAGTTTGACGTACTTTCTGCTGGCCTGGACCTCGAATTCGACGCCGATGTTATCCCAACATCTGCGGAGCCTTGCAACTATGAGACGATCTACCTGACTTCTCACAAGGCTGCATGTCGAACAGCAGCGTTCAACAATGATGGTATTTATTCAATCGCAATTGCTGCTCGAATATAGCGATTTTCCATGTAGGAACACTTGTCGCTACTGGATCAGCTGATTGCTCAATCAAAATTTTGGATGTTGAAAGGATGATTGCACGTGAAGTGAGAGGAGAAATAAGCGAAAACGGACCAGATGCGAATCACCCTGTTATCAGAACTCTCTACGATCATCTCGATGTGAGTGAAATGTATGATTTCAACACTTCGTCTCAATGTTCTATGGTTAAGGAAGTTACCGTTGTTGCCTTCCATCCACGTGAACAGATCCTTGTCTCTGGTTCGACGGATAAAACCGTCAAATTGTTCGACTTTTCCAAAACTGCTGTGAAAAGAGCTATGAAAACGTTATCGGTATGCATTTCGCATTTTACAGTGATTTATTTACCTTTATCGGTTTGGTCTACATTTGATATCTCGCTTATTTGCTTTCACCAATATTTTCTGTTACTTCTTTCCGACATCTAGCAAACTGAAGATTATGCTCTGTGAGCGAGTGACTTAGCAAAATAGTAGCATTTGATTTACACACGTTTCCCAGGTATTCGTACTTCTCCATTGCCTGCGTTAGAGCTTTGAGACCCTACTCTGCATAATTTTGCTTTTGATGTTGCCTCGATAAACTTGACCTATGTTTTCCTTTAGCACCAATAATCTTTTAATCTAATGAAGGTTGAGACTTTATATCAGTCCCATAATTGTATGTTTGCCTAGAGC